AATTTTGATAAGACTGATACGCCTAATGTAGAGGAATTTTGGTGGAATGTTTCCAAATTAAAAAAAGGCGACGGTTCTGCAATGTTTCCACTATTATCGACTTTAACCAGAAGCTTCTATGTTTGCCGCACAGTACCGCTACGGTAGAACGTTTATTTTCGAGCATTAATGTTATGAAAACCAAACTAAGAAATAAACTTTCTACGACCACAATAAACGGTACCTTGCACACAAAGTCAGAAATTAATAATTGTTTGGAGTTCAATGTGACAAATGACCATTTTAAAAAATTCAATAAAAATATGTACGAATTCAATAAAAATAAAAATGAAACGGAAAATCAGGAAGACTTAGAAATTGAAAATAACATAGTAGCTAGTGATACTTGAAATGTTACATTTAATTTGATTAAAATTTTGATAATTATACGAGTTTTCTTATTTTTAATACCCTCCATATAATGTATTCCATTCATACAATTATACAAAATATAATATAACATAAAACTGTAGATTTACTGTTTTTTAATTTTATATTTACAGTTTTCTATAGTTTTTTTCAAGCAAATCTACAGTTTTACTCTATGCTGGGGTTGGCAACACTGGGTGCAGAACAGAACCTAACCTAACATGAGAGAGAGTGTTAATTTAAAATAAGTGTATTCATTATTAATAAAGTTATTTTAGTTTAATACATCCGTGTGTTCATAAATTCACAACAAAATCAACTAGCAGATTTGTTTACAAAACTATTAACATACGTAAAATTTAAAACGTTACGTTTGGGTTTAGGTTTAGAATAGAAAAGCTAAAATAAGTGTTATTTGTTATGGATCATAACCTTGTAAGGAATTATTTTATTGAGGGGGCGTGTTGGTAATCGTAAAACGAACCAATAAAATATATCCTACATCTATGGTCCGAGGAACGAATGTAGGCTAGGGTCTAGTTAAGAAGAAGGTTATGTCAGAATAAGAGACGCGTGGTTACTTTGTACTTTTGGATTCATCTTTTTTCATGTTGCGTTTTGTAGTGTCAATATATTGTTGCGTTTCGGACTTGTTTGAATATCACGAATTGACCATTTCCTACAACAGTTTAGAGATGCTGAGGCCATTAAATTGAATTTCTGGGGTCGTTTCTGAATTTGTCCAACGTAGACTTCCAAGAGGATAGATCCGCAATTTCGAAAAATGTTCATGTCTCGCCGCTATGCATTTGTACACGAAGCAGGGCCGGATTAACAGCAATTATATTCTTGTCAGTCAACACACAGCCGCCGATTGAATTCTCGGATTCTGCGTTACTAGTTGCCATGGTCTGTCAAATATTTTACTTAAAAAATTGTCTATTTTTGTACAAATAATATACCTTTTCTAAAACAATTCCGCCTTTATCAAGTTGAACAAGGGCACGTCTGTCCGCTTTGAAAAGCGCGGACTATGTATCTTCCAAAATGATACAAATCCTTAACCTTTAGAGGTTCGATGAATACAACGTTCATTCAACCAGGCCTTCCGCGGAGCAAGCTCGGATTGTCCGCAAATACACAACTCACCGATTCAATTCTGAGATGTTGCTTCACGAGTCAAATATTTTAATTTAAAAAAAAATCATTTATTTAGCAACAATATACCTTTTTAAAAATAATTTCGCCTTTTTTATGGCAAATAGAACCTCTGTTTTTTTTAAACAGGAATATTGAGACGTAGACCAGTATCTTTTTAAGTCGGCATGTGAGGTAAAGAAGACGCAGAAACTTCAGTCGGGTACCATCGGTAGCGTAGGCTATTGATATATTTCCACCACTACATATGTTGGATTGGAATTTCCCATTTGATGGTTTGACTGACTATGAGAAAACTTGGAGGTAAGCTCTTACGGAATTCTATGGAAATATGTTTAGGAACATATTTGTGCATTACTCTGTCTTCCTCTCAGTTTCACATAAACTTTGCACGTATTATAGAAAAGTCACCTATTTTTTTTTTGTTAATAGTATTGAAAGTAGTAGGTGGTAGCTGAATTCGTAGGCCCAGAGGGTGTCTGTTTTGAACATAATTCACAAAATAGGCACCTAGTAGAGTCTCGAAAATTTCCATTTTTGGTGCCAAATTGGTTACTCCAGTAAGTTCCAACTGTTCTAATTTTTTAAAATAATTTATGATGTTAGTGAGTTTCATTTCAATTATTTGTTACTTAAATTTTCTGCGTATTAAACCTTACTTAACAATACGCTATTCGTTATCGCAGGTAGAATTAATGACACTGACTAACCTGATTTTGTCCAAGGATGCGTAGTACGATAGTTTGTACTGTGATGTTTGGTAGTTTGGTGGTGAGCTCTCATTTATTAAACTGGGAAAAGTTTCGATATCTTCAAATCGTAAACACGTATCATTAGAATTATATTTTTAAAATATTGATTAGGACATGTACTGAATAACTAAATGCTCTAGCAAAAATATTCACATACATTGGGGAAAACGTATAACTTTATATTAGAGAAAATTTACTATTTTTAGAGGATGGTTTTTCAAAAAGGTGGGGATTTAATTAAAGAACAGATATAGACTAAAGAGAAAAGTTAGAATTAAAAAATCGATGTTTTCATGTCATAGCGAAAGATGAATTATTATTAAAAATAATACTTGCATTAATTGTTGTCACTATTTGTGAAAAATATGGAAAATATCCTCTAGGTTCGCATACCTTTTTTTTTAATTTTTTAAGGTGGCTAACAAAATACACAGACAGAAAAGTTCAGATACTATTCGTTAATGTAGCGCATAGAAAAAAAATTAGAAGAGAGAACGTTTCGTATATGGCATACGTAGTTAGTACGGAATATTAATCTAAAGGCTGCAAGACAGTGAAAGAGTGATGCGCTTAAGTGTGGTTCAGAGAGGTTATTTGGGCTGTAGAAGTTTTTCTTTGAACGGGGTTCAAATAGCGTCTCCTAGAGCGTTAGCAGAGAAGAGTATTGCAGTATTTAGTATAAGCGTCCAGATTTCAATGTTGTTGAGACTGCCATAGAAACACACTTTCATGTAGTAGTAGCAGGAGCTTTAAAGTATATGACTTTTTAGTTAAGATGCCTTTCGAGTTTGCTTCATGGGTTGATCGGAGATTAAAGGGTAGATACAGATAAGTTACGAAAAAAAAAGTATGTACACTATCCTCAAGGATCAGCAATAAATAAAAGAAATTGATGAAATAGTAAAGTTGACTGCGATATCTTAAAATCATCAATAAGATAGATAAATTAATTTTGAAAATATTAAATAATAAAAACAAATAATAAAATAGCAAAGAAAACCAAAATCATCAATAAGATAGATAAATTAATTTTGTAAATATTAAATAATACAAATAAAATTAAAATAGCAAAGAAAACCCACCACGGCCACATACACATAATATTTTCGAAATATGAACTTTTCCCAGATAAATAGTCAAATATTTCACGATACCTTAAAACAGAAGCATGCGGTAATATGCATGTAGTTAACGCACGGTAGATGGCTTAGTAAATTAAAAAAATGTATATGGTTTCTAATATCTTATTTTATTAATGAAAATTGTAACCATATTTTTGCTTTGCAGATATTATTGGTGTTGTCAGGCAGCTTCCAGTTCCGAAAAAAGAAATCCAACACTTTTCGTGTTCATTTCCCCTGTCCTTGTGTGCAATAGTAAAAAGTACAGTTTGTACCCGCGAGGGTAACATTCGCAGAACTTTATGTTTTTAAAATAAATGTTTTGGTCAATATTCACTAGGTGGGTGACCTTATTAAAGAAAATCTTATTCCAAGAGGGGACACTAGTTTACATTCGAACCGCTAGAGAGTGCAGATGGTGACGCGAACAATATGATCATGCCAAGTCTCATTGACGCCATTGCTTTTCTTACGGGTGGGAAAACATCTGGGCTCTGATCGGCTTCGCCGCCAACACAAACTAGAGGAGGGAGATTAATTAAACCCCATTGGTGCTTGCTTATCCAATGGAGGACAGTTTCAAGGGGTAAAGGGGGAGGAGCTAGAGGAGTGGGGATGTCCTACCATGTAATAAGATCTACTGTTATGTTATTTCATGTAAACGTAAAAAGTAAAAAAACAGTCGTCTATTTTTTTTTTCTGAAGTTAGTAACTAAAAAGTAGATATTTTGTTTTAGATAGATATTTTATTTTTCACAAAAAAAATCTCGATTTATCCAGTGCAGTGGCGATCTAAATAACCAAAATATTATTTGTTCATAGACAGTAAGTGGCACGCCACTGATTTCTTAAAAAAAAAGCATTTGCACTCATTTATGAGCAGATTTGATCAATTTTTTTTTAGTCCGTCATATTAACGATCTTGTTATGACCATGCAGAGAAGAGGTTTTTATCTGTTAAGCAAAAACCGTACATCCGATTGAAAAAATCAAGAAATTAAATTTCTCTAAATAAGATTGGAGATTGTAAGAATAAGTTTAATTTTATGAGAAATCACTGGCGTACCATCAGTGTCCGCCAAAATAGACAGGCGAAATTCCGTACGCCCGCCACTGGTGTATTTTCAAAAAATGGTGGTATACTAAATAATGGCTCCTTATACATAGTACTTGTGTGCCAAGTTTAATTAAAATATCTAACGTGATATAACAAATTAAAAACAAAATTTTATTTTTGAAAAATTTAGCACCCTGTATCTCAAAAGTTAAGACGTTTAGGGCATATGTTTATATGAAGTTTCTTTTTAAAATGGACTCAAAAATAGCCCCTCAATTATTGACAATCAATTAGAAAACAATCTATGTATATATGTAAAATAATAAATGTTCTGATAAATAGCTTTTTTATACCGTCCATCTAGTAACTTTTTAGTTACATTTAGCATTGTTTGTAGGAAATATTAAATGCCTATTCAAAAAATTTAAAAAATTATTTCGTTTATTCATTGCAAACTCTTTGGTAATGAAGGAGCCTGTCCAATTATTTTTCTGGAATCTTAAAATTATAAATAGGAGAAATACGACACGTCACTAGGTAAGTGTCAGTTTTCGGAGTATGTTTGTTGTGACATTAAAATAAACATTGTCATGAAGAAAATAAATTATTTATTCTTACTTAGGTTTACAAGGACTAGGTTACTTTCCCGTGTCTTCCTTTAGTCCCACCGTTCTATTGAACACAATCTAAAAGAAATCGCACAAATTGTTAAATAAATGTTATCGGAAATAAAAAAAACTTGCCGTCTTCTCGGTCGAATCTTGGTCTACCGCGAAGAAACCGATTCTCTCGAACTGAAATCTATCGTAAATCTTCGCGCTGGATAATGTTTTATCCGCTAAACTTTTTACAATTTTCAGAGAATCGCGGTTGCAATCTGACAAGAAACCACCCGGTACTTCGCTGGAATTCTCCGGATTTTTATGTATAAACCTAAAGTACAAACGTGAATTTTTTTAACTAATTAACCAACTGTACGATAACTTCGTCATGGGCTGTTCAATGTCACGCAGAGGACAAAGTGGAAACCAATTTTGCGAATTTGGAATTAAAGAACTTAATTTGAAATGAAATAATCTTTTTTTTTGGCCCTAATTCACTTTTCTTGGAGCTCCTTCAACTCTTTTTTTAAAGCATAATTTTTTATATTCATAATAATACTAATAATAAAGCTAATAATATGCTTATTCTGTAAACAACGAAAAATTTAAATTAAAAATAATTCATCTCATTTTCGATATTCACAAAATAAACAAGTAAATATTCTCCGTAAAACCTTCAAGTTGTGCAGAATTTACCCTGCCACATATTGCAGAAAGTGACGTTAACAGATTTTAAAGGAATTGCTAAATAATTTATATAAAATACAGTCTGACCTACATAACATTAAGTCTTATTATTTTAGACATTTTCCTCTTTTTTTGTTATTTATTATTGTATATATACTTTTTGTTCTTTGTGCATTTATATTTATTAAGTTGTTTATTGCTTCAAGGGTACAGATAGATAAACTTTTTGTGATGTTTCTTAAAAGCACCTACAGATGTTAAAATTATGAATCTCTGCCTTAAATCATCTAGGAAATTATAAAAATGGGCCTGCAAAAATGTGTAAGATCTTTGGCCTATTTGTTATCACATTTCCGTTTTCTCTATTTCTTATATTGTAAGAAGAATTTTGTAGTTCGTTTGTTTTTGAAAATATTTAAAACCGTTTTAAAAAATAACTGCCTTACCGTAAAACGTTTCGACTGCCTAAAAAATAATTTCTAGTTTTTTGGAAAACTATTTTTAGGAAATATTTTTGAATAATTTTCAATTTTTTAAGATGTACATCCAGTATTCCTCCTCATCCCAAAATACCATATTGTAAACGTGACAGCACTAATGCATAATAAAGTGTTTGATGTTTATTTAAAATGGTTCTCAAATATTTGAATTTGTAAATCAGTGGCGTTAGATTGTTCACTATTGTTTGCAAATGTGTATCCATTGTTATTCCTAAGTACTTTGTTTTCTCTGTCGACTTTATTGAATGGTGTTCATTGTTTATTGTTTGTATATCTAAACTTTTATTTTTAATTCACTGTAAGTGACATCTGTTTAAACCAACTCAAATGTTTACTGGACCCATTTTCCAGTTTGATTTTAAGATCATCCCAAGAATCATATTTGTATAGGAAAACTTGGTCGCCAGCAGAACCAAGAATGGTCCCTGGCGTGTTTACATGGTACCAATTATTTATGTAAAGAATGAATAATATTATATAAAATGGATCCCTTGGGGACACTACAGGATTTTTTTTATAAAATGTAAGTATTATTAATTTTTGTTTTCTGTATTCATTCCGTAAGACAACTTTTAAATAGCTTCCAAGGATTCCGCGTACGCCAGAGTCCCGCAAGACATCCAACAACAGTTTATGATCAACTGTGTAAAAGGATTTGGAAAGATGGAGAAAAATTGCAAAAACTTTTTTATTGTCTTCCAGTGAGCTGTAAATTTGTGAAATTAAAATGGCTATTGTATTTTCTGTAGACTCACCTTGCCAGACTCCATATTGATTTTTACTTAATATTTCGTTCTCCTCTAGGAACTAAATAAACTAAACTAAACTAAAACTAAATTTTTTTTGCTATGTCTATTATTATTAGTTGAGGGAGCCATTCACGAAAAAAAATGGGTCTCGAAACTTTCCAGTTTTAGAGTCATACTGTTCTTTTCATGCGCCTAGGCCAGTCATGTGCTGGGGTTGAAGGTGGCTCCAAAATGGGTTGTAAAAACCATGTATTTCTTTTAAAAAGCGATACCCGACTAACTTACTCTTCAAGGAGAGCAATCTGCTTACTTTTATATCAAATCAGTGATAAGATTTATGTTAAAAACCAACTTTTATAAAACCAAAATAAATCATGTTATTAAGACAAGGTCTGCTGTCCAGCATGATGTACAGAACCTCAAACATGTAGCTTGCCAGAAACATATATAGGGTGTTTTCTAATTGGATATCAATAATTAAGTGGGCGAATTTTAAACCCATTTAAAAAAAAACTTCATATGAACATATGAACTAAAAGTCTTAACTTTTGAGAATTTTTCCGAAATTCAATATATTTTTTTTAGCATCTGTAATACCATTTTAAATATTTTCATGAAATTTGCACACATGTACTATGTATCAAGAGGCATTATTTTATGTACCATAATGTTTTTAAAATACACCAGTGGCGGGCATACGAAACTAAAAAATATTCTTCACAATCTCCAATCATTTCTAAAGAAATATAATTTCTTGATTTTTTTTTCAATCCGATGAACGGATTTCGCTTAAAAAAATAAAAAAACTCATATGACAGAATTATTATTGATTTTTACTTAAGCAATTGTCTGTCGATCGATAAAAATCGAAGAATCAATACGAAGTATGTAAAACTAAATAAATAAAATAAATTTAAATAAGAATATTTTATTATTTATCTTGTTATTAGGATGTTATGTTATGTCATTAAAACTGAAAAACGTAAAAACAGTCTTCTAATATTTTTTTCTGAAGGACACTAGTTGGTAACTAAACATTAAATATTTTGTTTTTTGATACATATTTTATTTTTCACAAAAAATAGTTCTTCCCCAGTGTCGTGGCATAATCAGAGGTACGCCAATGATTTCCTTAAAAAAATAATATCGACTTTTGCATTCTTTTATGAGCGGATTTGATTTCTTTTTTTTTTTAGTCTGTCGGATGGTTTTCACTTAAAAACAAAAACTAATTTCTCTGCATGCTGTCATATTAACGATATTGTTGTGGCCATGCAGAGAAGAGGCTTTTATTTTTTTTAAGCGAAAACCGTACATCGGATTGAAAAAAAAAACATGAAATTAAATTTCTTAAAAATGATTGGAGATTGTAAGAATAATTTTTATTTTAAGAAAGATCAGTGGTGTACCATCAATGTCTCCCAAAATAGATAGGCGAAATTTTGTACGCCCGCCACTGGTGTTTTTTCAAAAAAATGTGGTACATTAAATAATGCCTCTTGATGCATAGGACATGTGTTCCAAATTTCATTAAAATATCTAAAATCGTATTATATATATATTCAAAAAATATATTTTATTTTTGAAAACTTTACCACCCTGTATCCCAAAAGTTAAGACGTTTAGAACATATGTTTATATGAAGTTTTCTTATTAAAATGGACCCAAAAATAGCCCCCTGAATTACTGACATTCGATTAGAAAACACCCTGTCTGTATACTGTACTGGACCAAAAGTGTTCAATGTTCTGCATCCTGTACTATGGGTTAAATCATATAATAGAGTAAAAAAAGAGTTAACTGATTGGATTATCCTAGGAGGTTTTGATTTAGTTTATATGGAATAAACCAAAAAATATTAATAAAAGCTCTATAGTATAACTTTTGTATTTACTGGGCAAACAACAGAGTACTCTAAGATACAGTTATATATCTATTTATGATGACCCATATAATAATAAGAACGCATTCGACAAGGATAAGCTTATTCAGCTTTTATATACTATAAATACAAGTATTGTGCATGTGCTTAGTCAGTCTCTTAAGTCGCTTCTTGTCGTAACGCTGCCTGTAAACGCTCGTATTGAATAAAAATCGTTTTTAAAAATACAAGTTTTACGGACAGAAATAAAATTGGCGCAGTCAGTAGGATACTTTTCGGTGTGTTTTCGAAAATTTACTCGATATTAGTGCGCTGGATTACCGTTTTTGGATTGTCAGTGCATTGTACTTCTCGAAAGTTTCTTCGCAATTAGTGTGCTGAAACGCCAGTTTGGATCATCAGTGCATCGCGAAAGGGATCGTGACACACTTCTGTTTCAACAGTTAAGAAAAGGATTTCAGAACATCATCGTTACACGGGGCACTTGGGGCTCCTGGCAACATCGATCATTGGTACACCATTTCGATAGCCAGTAGGACGAACTAGCCTGAGCCAGCGTCCACTACAAACGGCATCGTTCTTGGGACAGTGCAGCTTCTCAACTGGACGTGACCATTTGATACAGGAACGAGACTAGGAACATATAATTGTAAGTGCGTTTACTAAACTGTTCCTTATAGTTGTGACTCCTGTTAGTTAAGAATTTGTAAAAGATTTTATGATATTTCATTAGGAAATTTAAAAATAGGCTAAGCGATATTACTTATCCTAGAAGAATAAATAGTGCGGAAAATAATCAATCACGTAGTAATCAAATAAACGAATTATATTCTGGTATTACTTTGTTGCATTGTGTAAGTGAAGAAAATAATTCTACTCTTACGGATACTTTAGAAACTAGCTTAGATTTAACTATTAGTGAAATTAACAATATGGCCGACGCTTTGAGATCAACTGTTTCTCTATTAAAAAACTTCGATGGTACGCCGTCACGTTTAGAATTTTAATGTAAGATATTTTAATAATGATCAATCACAGCAGGAATATGTTATCTTGGCAATAAAATCAAAAATTATAGGTACAGCCGAAGATTTTCTTTTAACTCGACCAGACCTTAGAACCTGGCCCGAGATAAAATCAGCTTTAATTCAGAAATTTAGTGATCCGATCACTCGTACTAACCTTCAACAACAATTAATATTCTCATCGAGGAAAAATGATTCTATTCAAGACTACATTCAAAAACTCAAAGCCTTAGTCACTAAAATTAATACTAAAATATGTTCAGAAATTGAAAACGCTGAAGCTAGATCGATATTAATTTCTCAAAATGAATTAACCGCTACACAAAATCTTTTAGCAAACATTCCTAATGAATTGAGAACGTTACTTATAGTTCGCAATCCTCAGAATTTGGATGAAGCTATAGATACTATTAATAATTATGAAATATTAACAAGTCAAACACATTTTAAAAATACTTATCTCCAAAATAGTACGTCTACACGACATA